CCCGGTGTGGGTCCACGTCCGCCCGGGCCGACACATCGGTGTGCTGGGGGGGGGCAGGTCGAACGGTGAGCCAGCGCATCGTGCCAGGCTCGCCGCGCCTGGGGCCATCCTCCCTGAGCGTCTCCCGGCGACGTGCGAGGGCTTCCGGATGGCGGCTCCGACAAAGCATCCCCCCCGTTGGCGCGACGGCGCGCGTCGCGTCTCGCGCGGGGACCCACGCCGGCCGCTCGCCTGCCCGCGGACCGGGCCGCCATCGGGCACCTTGCCCGGTCGCCTGGCTGCCTGGGGGGGAGGCGCTGGCGAAGCAGGCCACCACACGAGCGATGCCCCTATGGCAAGGGCCTACATGGTCCCGGGTAGCTGCAGGGGCCGGGCCCCTGGGTCCGGGCCGTGTGCTGGGTATGTGTGCTGGACATGAGTGCCGGGCATGAGTGCTGGGTATGTGTGCTGAACATGAGTGCCGGGCATGAGTGCCGGGCATGAGTGCCGGGCATGAGTGCTGGACATGAGTGCTGGGCATGAGTGCTGGGCATGAGTGCTGGGCATGAGTGCTGGGTATGGGTGCTGGGTATGAGTGCTGGGTATGGGTGCTGGGTATGTGTGCTGGGCATGATTGCTGGGCATGAGTGCTGGGTATGTGTGCTGGGTATGGCGCCCCGGTGTGCGGCCTCCGCATGCAGGCCCCCGGCGGACACCGAGGGCCGGGGCGCGGCCGGCGAGCGGCGTCCTCTCCCAGCATGTCCCTCGCCTCCGGGCGCCGAGGCTGGCGACGGCGACGCCCGGGCGCGTTTGGGCCCCGGCAATGTGGGCGCCGCCGGCCGGATGCCGCGGCATGGCCAAAGAGCGGCGGCCAGCATGCCTGGGCACATGTGCCTTCGTGCGTGCGACAGCCCTCGGGTGGACTCGCCCGATGGTGCTGGCAAGGGCCGAGCGCCGCCATTTCGCCCGCCGGCGAGTGGCCGACGCCTGCGGCCCTGGGCACGGCGCGCATCACGAAGCGCGCTCCGAGGGGCCGGTACCAGCGGCCAGCCGCGCGCCGGTGCGCAGCGGTCGGTCCCCGCGGTGGGAATGCCTTCGCAGGGCAGGCGACCAGTGCCACCAGGGGGGGGGGGGGTCCCGGCGGTGGAAGCCCTTGCATGCTGGCCGGCCATCCGGCCCGGGGGTGCCGGCGGCCGCGTGCCGCCCTCCCCGGCGGGTCATGCAGCCCATATGGACAGCATGCGGAGCGGCCCCTCGGCACGGCATCCGAACCGGCCTGTCCTCGAAGGCGGGGGGCGGGAGCCAGCCGAGGGGGCGCCTCTGCGGGCAGATCGCGCGCCTGGGCTCCGGGGCTTGGCCAGCACGATGCCGCCGCCGGAGCCACTCTCAGCAACGGCGGGCGGTCCCCTGTGCCGCATGCCCGCCCCTGGCTGGTGATCGCCGCTGCGGCCATCTGTCCGCCGATTGCCGGAGCATCGTTGGCAGCCACCGCGGGGCCCGCTCGGGCCGGGGCCCGGGGGGTGCATGTGCCCGAGCATGGGGCCGCCGCAGCTGGCGAGACTTGTGCCAGCGGCCAGGCGGCGCGGCTGGGGGGCTCGAGCGGGAGGGCCCGCCGGCCGCGATGCCATGCGGACCCGCCAGCGGCCATCGGCCCAGGGCCGGGGACTTGGCCGCCGGGGAGGGGGCGGCGCCCGTGGCCACGCGCCGGGGCCCGCTGCCCGGCCGCTGGCGAGGGAGCCCAGCAGCCGGGCGCCAGGGCGCCCCGGATGGCCGGTGGCCTGCACCGGTTGTCGCGCGCCGGGCCGAGCCGCTTTCCCCGCCCCCTCCCGGTCTTGGGGGGGGGGGGGGAGAAAAAAAAACACGAGCCCGCGGACAAAGATCAGAGTGTGTGGTATTGGGTGCAGGGGGGGTTGGGGGGGGGGAGCCGCGCGTCAGGGGGAGGTGGCGGCGGCCCCGGCCGCGAGGTCGGCCAGGGTGGCGGCCAGGGCGGCGGCGGAGGGCCGCGCGCGCGGGTCCTGCGCCCAGGCCTGGCGGTAGGCCTGGCGGAAGGGCTCGAGCCAGGCCGGCTCCGGGCCGAAGGCCGCCGACAGGGGCTCCGGGGCCCCGGTGGCGGGATCCGCCTCCGGGCGCTGGCCAGCGAGCACCGCGCGCACGATGCCCGCTGCCGGGATGCCTGGTGGGGGGGCGGGGGCGGGGGGGGCGGACACGAGGAAGTGGCAAAGGGGCGGGGTGAGGAGGCGGGCAGGTGGGCGGTGGCAAAAGGCCGGACGGCAAACGCCGAGAAGGGTGGCCAGGGGGGGCCGGCCGCACCATGCCACGGCTGGCGCGCGGCCAGCAGGCCGAAGAGCAGCACACCGAGCGAGAAGACGTCCACCGACAGGAGGCAGCGCACGGGGCCGTCCGCCGGGGCCAGGGGGAAGGGCAGGCCGTGCAGCCGGGCCAGCGTCTCCGGCGGGGCGTAGGGCACGCTGCCGGCCGGCACATCGCCCAGGGTGGGGATGACGCTGAACCGGCTGAGCACGAGGGCCACGCCGAAGTCGCCGATGACGGGCTGCAGGCGCGAGGGGTTGCCCGGGTCGGGCCGGACAAAGACATTGCCCGGCTTGATGTCCCGGTGGACGATGTCGCGCGCGTGGATGAATGCCACGCCGGCGGCTAGGTCGAGCGGCGTCCGCCGGGGCGGGGGTCAGTGGGTGCCTCGGGCTCTGCAGGCGGGCGGGGGGGG